CGGAGAATGGCACTACTAGGAGTTACCATGGAATCTGGCCGACGCTCGACACTCAGGGAAAAGGCGAGACAGATATTTAATCAGACAGTTACTGGTACCATCAAAAATTTAACTCTTCGCTTGCTGCTGAAGATGGGGACGGAGCACTCATGGGGGTGTCCAGTGTGCTGTGATGTCGATTCTTAATTTAACATTCAACAACTAATATATTTTAATAAAGTTTTATTAAAATATTTAACAAAATAATATTTCACTTACAGTTTGCTCAAAATTTTTTTTGCGATGAGTGGAGCATTTGTACATAACACGGCTTTGCTTACATGGCAAATTTCTGGTTCAATAAAATAAAAGTTGAAAGCCTTAGAAGAAAAAATTAAATAAACACCCAGAAAGTCTGTGGTGGTTCTGTAACGTCATGTAAAGGATGCTCAACAAATATAGCATCAATGGTCGGTATACACTTCAGCTGTAAAAGTCTAAATAATATTGGAAGGTCGGTAAGTTGCACCCCACCAGGACATCACACAAGCGATAAACACCCGGTGACACAAAGTGCCACCATGCGGATGAGGATCACCCGTGGTGAAATCATGGAAACCCCGTTCAGCCGTTAGGCTATATTTAAGGCCCGTCTATATTTAGGGCCCCCTCAAAAGCCAGGCTAGGTCTTCAAAATAACTAAAAATTGCACCCCACAACGGGATGACGATGCTGTGACTAAATAATATAATGAAGAAAGACATCTGTAACATAAGAGTTTAAGTAGCAGATCAACTTATGTATTTAGGTATACATTTTTTATTGCTAAGTAAACACAGACGGTATCCGCGGTGGTGTAGAGGCCCGACGCTTGCCTTCGGATAGGAAGGTCCTGAGTTCAAATCCGAACAAGCCAGGCTTTTTTTTTTTCTTTCTCAGAAATGACCTAGGCTCCCAAGTCGACCCAGTTATAAATGGGTACCAGGTAAAGTTATCGGAAATAAAGACGACCGGGTATTATTCCCCACATCAACCACCGAGTGCCGATTGGTCTATAAAATATAGGTCTAGCCCTATACGCCCAACAGGCATCGAAACGCGAAAAGGAGCCTTCCAATCACTAAAGAAGCACAACGAAATCAATTAAGATACGGATTGGCAACTCAGCTGCAGTAAGTCAGTAAATTTTACCCCACCAGGACATTACACAGAGTGATAAATACTCGGTGACACAAAGTGCCACCATGTGGATGAGGATCACCCTTGAAGAGGTCCTGGAAACCCTGTTCAACAGTTAGGTTATATTAGGGCACCGGACAACAACCAGGGTGGGGCTTCAAATTAACGAAAAATTGCATCCCACGTGTGAACGACTCTTATAACAAACGTGGATTTTACGTGTTCACTCGCATCACTAGCTGAATGATTCAAACGGTCCTAGAGTTGCTGTCCCTTTTGACTAAGAAGATTTTTATTTAGGAATATGTATGAGTCATGTGGTTACGCATAATAAAACCACGTCAGTGGGTTGAGTCAGCTGATTTTTACTGGTAGGTGGGACATGGGGCGCCGGAACATGGAGGCTCGGGCACCTTGGGTTCCCACCAAAAATGGGGGGGGGGGGGGTTTCCCTAAGCAATGATCCCAGAAAAATTGCTGTAGGGCTAAGTTGTCCCTACCCATGCAAAGACCTTCTCTTTGTAAGTTGAAGTTGACTCAAGAATTTACATCACAGCACTCGGGGCATTCCCATGCGTGCTCCGTCCTCATCTTCAGCAGCCAGCGCAGGGTTCTAATACTGATAGTACCGGTCACAATCTGGTCATATGTCCGTCTTGCCTTTCCTTTGAGTGTAGTGAGCCGGAAATACCCTCTGGTTACACCCAGGTGCCTCATTTTCTCCAGGCCATAATAATCTTGTTTCTCCACTGATTCCGTTACTTGTTCTCAAAGGCCCTTGACCACATCTGCCTTGTCAAGTATCAATTCACCACCCAGTGGTGTAGATCCAGGCAATCTGTCTGCTTGTTCATTACCCACTACGCCGACATTGCCTGGAGGTAAGATCCAAATTATCCTCACTACCCGTGACCTTCCCAGTGAAGTTTGCCACTCTGCTCGAAGCATTCCTGTTTTCACCTTTCTCAGCATGCTTTCAGATTCTGTTACAATTACGACATGTGTATGCACCTTGTTCTCTAGCCACCGGAGAGCTGCAGTTACCGCCTCCTTCTCTTTGGAAGTGCTTGTTTATAGATTTTTATTTATATATTTATTTGCCATTCGTCATTATTGTTGTTGTCATTATTAATTATTATTTTTATGATTATTCTTATTTATTATTATTGCGCACTTAAAATGTCTTGAGCACTCCTAATGCCTCCACCCAAGGAATATATAAAAAGTGGGGGAGGGGGGCATGTGGTCCCCCCCCCCGCCCCAATGTTTTGGTTTCCTGTCGGCTCCCCTGACTGGAACTAAATATCAGCGGTGAGTCTGACTTGAGTAATTCATCACACAGATCAATCCGCTGACTAACAAGGGATCGATGGGTTTTTCTGTAGTGAAGTTAAGCTTTACATTTTTCTAATACTGGGCATGTTTTTGTTATTGTGGGTTATTATATCTGTCTGTCTGTCTGTTTGCCTGCCTGCCTGCCTGCCTGCCTGCCTGCCTGCCTGCCTGCCCCCCCTCTCTCTCTCTCTCTCTCTCTCTCTCTCTCTCTCTCTTTCTCTCTCTCTCTCTCTCTCTCTCTCTCTCTCTCTCTCATTCTCTATCTGCTATCTGTTCTACACACATTACACACTTTCTACGAATTTCGTTTGTGAAAAGCAGTAACAGATAGCAATATTTCGACATTTAACCTAAAATGTTATGAAAAAGAATACATTTGAAGTCTTTGAAAATGTAAATTGGTTACATCCAAAACTAAGCCAAGACGTATGTGGTTTAGGTATTGCGAACGCGCTTCCTAATTCCGAGGTAACCGATTCGACTCCAGCCACAGACGGCTTTGTCAGAACCCGAACCCACGACCTTCCGTCCTGTCCGCAGGCGAGCGTCCAGCCGCTAAACCACACTGACTCCCTAACGTGTTTCAAGACTTGAATATTTATAGAACGATCGATAGTAACAGAGGAACGGTCCCTTTACACCAGTGGCGCATCAGGCATATGGGTCTAGACTCGTATGTTTATAGATTAATCGGTACTCGATGGTTATTATGGTCAACGAACTCTGGCTTTTCTTCAGAAGACATTATTTTAGAATGGCGGAACCATCCTAGCCATTGTCAATTTTTGTTTTCTACTCAGGCTTAGCCTCCTATTCCTTTTTTCCCCTTCTGTTAAAATTGCATATATTTTGGGGATTATACAATGGTATTCACTTGTTATTCGACATATTATTAATCACTTAAACAAGGCTTTGATGGAAAATGTGAGTTGAGGCACCTCTCCAGTATATAATTTTTCAGGGCACCCCTGCCACTTTTTTTAGCATTAGAGAAAGACAATACAACTGAAATGATCAATCTTATAATTTGTCGTCTGTTTGGTTGCTTTTCCTGAGTCGATGTTCCAGCTTAATTGCAGACGGTGACCCTATAATTGCTTCGTCACTGTGCCAGTAGAGATCATACAAAACGTCCCTTAATGTCCCAATTGAAAGGCTAGTATTAAAAAAAAACACGTACTAGTCCTAGCAAAATATAGAAACTCGCACAGATGAATAAATGCAAATGGCAGCCGTTAGATGTACCAACACCACCCGCCAGATTGCAGCTCAATGTTGATGCTATGATGTAAGCAATTACTCACAAAAGTCGGCATTCCCCCACACAGTACTGCATAAGTACCTACCATTCTAAATATAATTGGCCGCTCGCCATTTTAAGTGGGGTTCCCACAGGGCCGTCTTAACACATGGGCCCTCTAGGTACTTGCCCGCAGGTCCCACAAACATAGAAGCCGCATGCTAATATGTGAGTGTCAAATAACTTATTGTATAAAAAAGGTTCGTTGTAATGTCATTCTGTGACATCTATTACGCGTTTATGCTTCAACACCATTAGCGCCTCCGATAAGGGGGAGGGTGAGAAGAAAAGGCTCCATCTATAAAGGAAAATGGGGAGAAAGTAATTCTCTAGTTTTAGATATACGGATACACAGGAGGGGAAAATAATAAGGTAATTCTGTAAAGTCCTAGTTATACAGGCAGGCATAGTTGCTGGAATCTGGGGGTTTTCGGGCATCTTGAGACCCCCCGCCCCCTCCCCCCAATTTTTTTAGTAGAGGATGAGGCACCTCCCCAAATTCCTCCCCCAGTCACATCCATGATTTTATAAAGGATATAAGTTGTCACCTTAAACCGCGCATAGATATTCTCCTTACAAGTATGTGTCTCTCATCAATATCACCATCATCATCACGTAGCAGGTGCTTTGCAGAACATGATTCTCAACACGGTCTCTCGTCAGCTTTCCCGCCTCACCCAATTTCATATCGAAGGAGTCGCCTCTATCATGTGCCTATCTTCCTGCTGCTCGGCGCCTGGCCACATTCATGACAACATGCTTTATGTTGTTATTAATTTTCCGGTCCTCCATGGCACTTAATGTGAAGCAAAATCAGCTTCCGAAACAAGAGGCTGTTTGTTGGTCAATCTTCCCTGATGTTCAGATCTTTAAGGAGGTCAGTATTTCCTTTTCTACTTTGTCCATGATATTCTGAGAATCATCTTATAACATTTCAGCTCAAATGCATCATTTATTGCCTATGCGACTATCGATTTCATATAATATCAAGTATATTGTTGCATTTATTAGCCGTTCAGTAGAATAACTATGGCTAGACCCCCACCCCTTTCTTTCCCCATGTTTTCTTTGCGTCGACATGCCTGCCTGAAGGCGAATAAAAAGCCATACTTACGGTATGGACCATAAAACAATGGGCCTTGTAACTGCTTTATAATTTATAAAAATCAAGGAATAACCTTCCTCTTCCGGTAGTGAGTAAAACAAGATGTCGTCCCTTGGTAAACAAAAGTCCTCGAACTTGGAGAAATCTCTAGGAAAGGGAAAACCTGAGGTAAGTAAAACAATGTATATACGTTTACAGTAACTGGTAATGCATGTACGTATAGTTTTAACACAACTGCAGGGTTAAGTATAACGAATCCCAAAGTGTTTAGTGTTGGTTCTTCACCAGCTGTCATGGAAAAGTCAAAGTCTTAAATTTAAAAAGTGTCGAGTTCGGTCACACACAGAGAGAGAGAGAGAGAGAGAGATAAAAAAAATGAATCACCTGATCTGTAGACTAAACACAGAAAAGCCGCGCTATTGTTCCTTGTTGACTTGCCATTGATATGTAATTCGGTCAGAATAGTTAGGGTGCTGGGCCAACATTTAATTTTAAGGAACAGACTTGGCTGCCGCCCCCCCCCCCCAAAGATTTTTTTTCGCCATCGTCCTAAGTCAATGATAGCACAGCATTGTAGACCTGTTGTCCCATATTTAGTTTCACCGCGAATTTAATAATTTATTCTTTCATTTCCAGTTTATTTTTTAACCTTCTCCACTCACATACCTACAACTTGGGTCCTTTTATATGGCAGGCCTGTGCTTTACTACGGTCAGCAATTATTGTATTAGCAGAGCAGTTTAGACGTCTTGGAGGTCAGACAGACTGAAAGTGTAGTATTGGCTGCCTGGATCATTTTAGAACATGCAGATGGAACTGGCTTATTTTGCAGACTATTCATCATTATCATGTAGCAGGTCCTTTGCAGAACGTCACTTTCATCACAGTCTGCCTGAAAGAAACTCGGTCTCTCACCAGTTCTCCCGCCTCTTGTACTTTCATACTCAAGGAATCACTTATATCCTGTGCCCATCTTAGTTTCGGTCAGCCCCTGGCCCTCCTTCCTGGTGCCATGCCTTCTGCTGTAATTTTTTCCAATTCGTCGTGGCGCTTGATATGACCAAAATATTTCAGCTTCTGAGAAAGAATGCTGTTTATTAGCCAATCTTCCTTGATGTTCAGATCTTTTAAGATGTCAGTATTTCTTCTCTTCTTTGTCCGAGATATTCTGAGATCTTTCTATAGCATTTTTGCAGACTATTACCAAATAAAAAATCTTCTTTTAAAAATATAAAGGGTTATGAGGGAGGAGGTGAGTTCAGAAGAAAGAATAACAGTGTTTATGTGTTGCAGTATTAATAGTTATGGAAAATGACTGGAAATTTTAACAATCATCATTGAAATTTTAAAGGCCTGACCAAATTGTGAATGGAACAGAGCCAGTTCACAGCGAGGATCACGTCATAACTTTTCATCGAGAGGCTACAAGAATTTAACTCCTCAGTGATGCGTAAGCAAAGAAAAGTTCTTTTAACTGTTGACAGACTTAACAAGAATTAACATTTTGGAAGCAGCAGAACTTTTTTTTTCCCTACTGCCTAATGTCGCATCAGCACCTCAGCCTTGTTATCAAGGTATCATTCAAAACTTAAAAGTTTATTAGAACTCTACAATGTTGTCAAAACTTGTAGGTCACATGGGTGCTAACCTCAGTACTGATGATTTTAGGATAATCTGCCTTGGTGCTATTTTAATGCTAAAATGTTCATTGAACAGAGTTTTGCCTGCAAACTACTATAGACAAACTGGCTTCTCACTCCCAGTAGATGTCCCTATAAATTAGAATTCTGCACAATCAGCGAGTAATGTTAATGATATTTTAGTTCAGTTATTGCTTGCAAGGTTGTATCAAGAGCTGAACATTGAACCAGAGGAGTTTATGAACATCGATAATGTTATTTTTACCAGTGCAGCTTTTTCAAGCAGTGATATTATAGGGCTATATATGCCAACCTCTCAGCCAACAGACAGAAAGATCAATGTTGTATCTGTCCATCTACCAGCTACTAGCGGGACTGAGCCTCGAGAGGCAGGGGGTAAGATGTGTTGGTGTTGTGGGTAGTGGGTTCCCCCCCTTACTTCACCCTAGGTCTAGTGAATATCTGTTCACGAAAGGAGCGTCCATTGTGGTGTCAGCCTCTTGACCTAGCAAAACCTCTCTTACCTCAAGACCATTGTGCGTGGCGAAGAGTCACAGCCTCCCCGAGGTAGTCCCGGTAACTGGGGGTGCGAATCCCCAGGCAAAACACAATGGATCTAGAGGAGCAAACCTCGATAATAAACCCGGTGCACCACACCGTACTGCCCCCTGTGGGAGGGAAGGAGCCAGAGGTGTGCTGAAAGTCTTAGGAATGGAAACAAGTATGCTAACCCCCCTGAATACCGGAAACTATCGTGAAGGCACAGGGACTCAGGACGTGACAATCCAGTTGCCCCAACTACTCATGCTTAGGCCATGCTTAGAGACATGAAGAGCTCAGCGAAACCTGCAGGCAATCTGGTGGCGGGGAATGAGCACACTGTGAGCCCCACCTTAGCTACGTGTTAAAGGGAAAGGCAGAAACACAACCCATATTTTCTTTAGAACTGGTACAGGGCATTTCTAGCTGCTGCCCGGGGAGGTAGGTAATCCACAGACACCCCAGCACCAGCTACTAGCCAAAGTGAAGGGCCTGGTCTGTCCTGCCATAACATAAAGTTTTCAGGTATAATTTTCTCTTCCTAGGATAAAATCAGCAAACAGCATTACAAGTCTATGGTTAAGCACCAGCAAAGAGATCAGAATTTAAATTTTGAGAGCATGCATCTTCCCTTTAGCAATATATGGATGTGAGTCGTAGGTAATCTCTCAGTCCTTAAGAAAGAAAAGGCTTTCAAGCTGTCTATAGAAAGATTCTCAGAATACCATGGATAAAGAAGAAATACTGACATTTTAAAAGATCTGACCATCAAGGAGTATTGGCTATTATACTGCATCTTGTCTCAAAAGCTGAAAAATTGTGGTCAAAGCGGCATGGCGGATTGGGAAAAAAAAGATAGCAGAAGGCATGCTACCAGGAAGGAGGGGCAGGGTCGACTAACATGAAGATGGGCACAGGATGTAAGTGACTTTTTGAGTATAAAAGTACATGAGGCGGGAGAGCTGGAGAAAGACTGAGTTTCTTTCAGGAAGACCGTGATGAGAGCGACGTTCTGCAAAGGGCTTGTACATTATGATAAAATCAACTCTAACACATATTATACCTTTCTTCTGTATTCTTAGACACTGGTTGTGGTAACATGGTAACTGCATGTTTAACTGCAATATTCAGTGGGTAGTCATGATAGTTCTATGGCTAGATGCTTGCCTGCAGGCTAGAAGATCTTCAATGCTAATCTATATCACAGTGCATTTGTATCTTTGACATAGACCTCCTGGGTCAGCCCAACTGAAATGAGTGTCAGAAAATCTCCTGGGAAGAAAAGGTAGTGAATATTGTGCTGACCATATTACACATCCTGTTCTGATTATTGTATAAACAATGTGGCTCCAGTAATTTGAAACAGGTCTTATATTTTCCTTTCTGTTTCAGGTTAACGTTGCTACTTTTGCACTGCTCTTTTCTGAAATTGTTCAGTATAGCCAGAACAGGGTTCACACTGTCCCAGAACTGCAAACTAAGTAGGTTCTCACTTTAAAATTAGCATTATTGCTTGAGAAAAAATTTTTATTTGCTTCAATGTTACCTAGTTTCAGTCATTATTTACCATTTTGCTTCCAGTTATACCATCAGCATATTCTTCATAAGTTTAAATTATATATTTGTAAACCACATAACATTTTTTTAATTTGTATGCCAGTAAGTTGAAGAACCATAAAAAACATGGAACAAAAGTTAAATGCATTTGAAAATAAATGTCTAAGTAAATTGATGAACACTAATTGGAATAAAGTCAAGAAAGGTGAGAAAATAAGAGAAATGTCTGAACAGCCGCTTGCTTCAACAATTATGTTAAAAAAAAACACCAGGAAAATAAAACGTGGCCAGTATATTTGGCTCATCTTGAGAAGTGGACAGAGAATCACCAAGCAGGCACTGGAATGTGAAACAAATGGATTGATTGAGGAAACTAAAACATCCAAAAGAAACCTAAGATGAATGTTGTTGAGAGAAGCCAAAGGTGCTGGACTGATTTCCATCTATGAAATCAAAAACATTGCTGAGGATAGAACGAACTAAATTGTGAGTCTTATGCGACATAATGGCACAGCAGGCTGATGGTATACATTCTGGACCTGCCTCAATGTTATTTAGAGTGGCTTGTTAAATAGATTAAGTTGGCTGAGTATCCCAAGAGAAGAAAATAGGTATTTAGAGATCAAGATAAACTTATTGTATGAAGATAAATACAGAACTTCTAAGTATACACCAATGAATTATTGCAGGGAGCAGGACAGCTTGAGGAGCTGGTTCAGTCATCATGCTGTAAGATGGGACCACGATAGAAACATAGTGCACTTCCGTAAAATCTCAGCAAACTTCACAGCAGAGCAGCAAGTAATTATTGATACAACCAATAATTGAGAAGAGAAAAATTAAAAAGATGTTTTACTGGGTGACTGCATATCAGTCCCCTAGGTGACTCAGAGGAATCCACGAGACAACATGGAGAGAGAACTGACCCGCCAGCTAAACAGACTTTAGAAAACAATCAAATCATTTTCCAGTGGATCTAGGCTTACTGCGGCATACCAGGAAATAAGTTAGTGGGCGGATTTGCGAAAAATGTAACAAAGGAGAAACAACACACCATTCATTGTCATTACCAGAAATCAAAACTTTCATAAGAAAAAACACAAGGAATTGTGGAGAGAGCAGTAAACACCCACAAGACCTCATCAGCAGACTCAACAGAAAGCAACATACAACAATTTTCCATCTGCAAATAGGACACTGCAGCCTCAACTATTACATGCATAAAATACAGATTGTACAGTCCCCACTGTGGGCCTATCAAACAGGACCCCAAACACCTGAGCACATTCTTCAGACCTGCCCACTCTACCTACAGCTTTAAAGGGAAACCTGGCCTCCAGAGCAAAGTATGCAGAGCAAGCTATGGGGAATCATGAAAGACCAGCTGCTGACATGCGAGTTCACAGAGGCAACCCACCTGATGGTCTGACCTGAACATACAAAACTGAACGCAAAAAAAGAAGAAGTTTCTCTGGTCTTTCCAAGAACAGCACTGCTCTTGTCCAGTAATAGTTAGCCTACTTGTTCATATGAGTCTGTTGAACTAGAAATTTGTATTACTCTTTAATACGTGTTTCTTGGTTAACTGGTGAAACTGAAGCTAAATTCAGTTAAGGTAAAGACTATTTAGAAACTGCTCAGAATGATGAAAGTAAACATTCTGGATATACTGCATGCATCTCACAGCATTCACAAACAAGCTGTGTTTTCCTTTTGTCATTAATTATTTACTTTCTGTCTTCTTCATGCATAGATTGTCAGAGTTGGGACAACATGTTGGATCACACATGCTGGATGTGCTGTTCCTACGAGAGAAAGGCTACAAACGGGAAATCAAACTCCTTAGCATGTTGATTTTTATTAAGTCCACCTTCTGGAAGGTAGGTTCCTGTATGTATATAAATTATAACTCCTCATGTGTGTTCAGGGGGAAGGTAGGTTCCTGTATTATATATTATAACTTTCCTCATCTGTGTTCAGGGGGAAGGTAGGTTCCTGTATGTTATATATAACTTTTTCCAAGGTAGGTTCCTGTATGTTTTATAAATTATAACTTTCCCCATGTGTGTTCAGGTCCTCAGTGGGGAGGGAAGATAGGGGATAATAGCCTTACCCCACAAGCAAGCCTTAAAAATTGACCAGCTAATTTGCTGAAATCAGATATGTTGGGCCAAAGGGTGCAGATATCGCAAAACACCACACCAACTACCCTTTTAAATGTGAATGCAGAAGAAGGAGATATTGAACTTGTTCAGCCCCAGAGCATTAAGCTGAGTAGCACCTTCAGAATTGTGCTTGAGTGTTGTTTACTTTCTGCAAGGGTGAATGGTTTCTAATGTGGAATTAACATATGTGGGCTGGCATTTGTTATATATACATCTTAGACGCTTCAAGCCTCTTCCCTAGCAAGCAGGCTGTACTTCTTCTTCTTCGGCCTTTCCAGCCCCCAATGGAGCATAAGCTCCCAACCAACTCACGCCAAGCCGTTCTATCTTTTGCTATCGCATTCTGTTCTCCCTATGTTCTCCCCATCTTTTCAACTTCATTCTCCATCTCCCTTCTCCATGTGTTTTTTGGCCTTCCTTTATTCCTATGCCCCTGTGGGTTCCAGTGCAAAGACATTCTAGTTATATTGTTTTCTCAATGTGTGTAGGCTGCACTAGAGCAACCATATATTTCTTACAATTTTAAGAATGTCTGTGACCCTGGAAAATTCATCTGATCAACGAATACCTTAAAGAATTAGATGTGTCGGCAGAAAGCTGCACATATCACATCTACGCTCAGGTATTTCAAGACTAAAGTGATTAAGGCTCTTGCCCTACAGTGTGGTTCACGAGTGCAACTTTCAACTAGATCCCTGGTGATCATCGCTAGAGCAATGGAGTTCGCGCTTTGCATGATGCTCTCAGCAAGCAGTTGTTCATTTTTCAGAGAAGGGCTGAGCCAGATGAAATGAAACCTAATGTCTGTGCGGTTTTTGTGGCCCAATTGTGGTGGGGAAACAAGAATAAACCGACTGCCTCCCTAACAAGCATGTCCTAAGAGTTGACTAATTAGGGGTTCCTTCTAGCTCAGAGTGGATCTACTTGAAAGGCAGGAACCAACAGTCTGCATACAAATAAGTGAGATCTGTAAGATGGATGTGCAAGCAAAACTTGATTTCTGGAACAAGAATAACATTTCTGTTGAATTAAGAATCGACATCACAGCACTCGGGACACTCCCATAAGTGCGCAGTCCCCATCTTCAGCAGCAATCGAAGAGTTCCGATTCCAATGGTATCAGTAACTGTCTGATTGTATATCCATCTCATCCTTCCCCTGAGTGTTGAGATTCCCTGGTGACTAACATTTCTGAAGTGTGCGAACAACCAGAACTTTCAGCCACAGTTTACAGTTAGTGAGCACAAAGATGAGGAAATCCTATGCTGTGAAGGCAATTCTCAACTTCAGTTAACTTTGCTGTCAACAGACAATACTATTATGTCCAGACAGAAATATTGGACAAGTGAATACAGTTTACTCTTTTCTGTTGTTGCCCTGAAAATATAATATTTATTATATTATGTGTAGGTGACCAGTGGTCAAATACTTAAAACTGTCGGAACATAACAGTACGCTAAATAATAAGAGGACGTAAATGAATAGCTTAGTTAATCATTGCATCTCCAGCCCCAGTTTATGCATACCAAACGATGGGGAAAAAAGCGCAAGGGGGGGGGGGGGAGTTCAGTAAAACATCATAGTCAGATTACCCTTGAAAACTATTTTAGTAATATTTAAAAAAAATTAAAGTCTGTGCCATCTCAACAGTGAAAGTTGGCTCCTACGCTGTCTTTGAAAATATTATCTAATGGGGTCCCAGTGTATTCCATGGTGCAACTCTCGTACTACCATCTGAAAACCACAAGGACAGTTTGATATTTAATAAGATTAAATTAATTAAAAACCAGTTTTGTTGAAAATATTATCATCCTTAGTTCTATAGAAATATTAATGTTTGTTCATTTTTGTTGCAGATTGTGTTTGGGAAAGAGGCAGATAAATTAGAGCAAGCAAATGATGATGATAAAACATGTATCCTTTTTGTTTTATTATTGTTGTTGCTTGAACCATATTATTTTTAAGGAAAAATGTGTTTTTTTCTGTGTTGATTCTGGGGCTCCATTTGCACAGGGGGGTGGGGGGGGGGGGGATATACTGCTTTTTTTACACTAGCGTTGCTGTTTGGTAATTTATGTTGTTGCCCTTCTGTATTCTATCCAATCCTTCATCCTATGTGAATACACTGCCTAGGTACTTAAAATTCCGCAACCTGTTTTAAAGCCTGTCAGTAATGATATGTTGAACAGTAAATAAAACACCAGTTCAAGTTCAGTCTTGAAAAAAAAATATACTACAAAGTGGATTTGAACCCTAGACCTCCCCATGTGGGTTCCAGGGCTCCATTTTGTTGAAAACAAGAATAGAGTCACCGTCTCACCAACAAACGTGTCATAAGAGTCAACTGTAAACCCCAGCGGAAAGTTCTAGTTCATCTAGTTCTGGATTTTAGCCGTGTTCCAGAGCTTGAATTTTGCATGCACATTTGTTTTTTGTTTTTTTTACAGATCTGACTTATTTGTGAGCAGACTGTTGGTTCCTCATGTCTCAGGCAGATGCTCTCTAACATTGAAAGAAATACCCCTAATTAGTCTACTTTTACGACATCTTTGACGGGCGTAGTGGGTCTAATCCTTTTCTCCCCAATTGGGGCCCCGGAACCCACATGGGGACAGTCTCATGTAATTTGCAGTCCTGTATGGGTAAGGAAGTTATTTTCACTTGTGCTAGAACTTTGTAGTCGTTTAGGGATATTCTTTGTCGAAGCAGAAGTGAGATACCTTCTAATCTCCGCTAGCCTACTAATACAGCAGCACAGTTCCATACAGCAGCACTATTCCATACAGCACACTATTCAATACAGCAGCACAGTTCCATTCAGCAGCACTATTCCAATCAGCAATGTTATTTGATATAGCAGCACAGTTCCATACATCAGCACAGTTCCATACAGCAGCACTATTTCATACAGCAGCACAGTTCCATACAGCAGCACTATTCCATACAGCAGCACTATTCCATACAGCAGCACAGTTCCATATAGCAGCACTATTCCATACAGCAGCACAGTTCCATACAGCAGCACAGTTCCATATAGCAGCACTATTCCATACAGCAGCACAGTACCATACAGCAGCACTATTCTATACAGCACCGTTTCAACAGCAGCACTGTTCTAAACAGTAGCAAAGTTTCATACAGCAGCACTATTCTGTACAGTAGCACTGTTTCATACAGCAGCACTATTCTATACAGCAGCAAAGTTTCATACAGCAGCACTGTTTCATACAGCAGCATAATTCCATATAGCAGCACTATTCTTTACAGCAGAACTTTTCTTTACAGCAGCATTGTTTCATAGAGCAGCACTATTCTATAAGAATAAACTCCACAGGGGAGCATGTACAGCTGGGGTCTACCAATCATCAGTAGAAGTAATCTCTCGTTGACAAAAGTTTCGGCCCACGCGCTCCTAGACATTTACAGAGAGTGGGCTCACCTGAGTTCATGAAGCTCAGGATTGGTTTTCCCTGCTGCACGAATTACCAGATGTTATTAGGATAGGAACAAGATGAATTGGTGATTTGCCAATACAGTAGCAAAGTTTCATAAAGCAGCGGAGTTCAGTAAATTGGCACATCTGGCTAATTTACACAAGATAATTTCAGAGAAAGAGAAAACCTGTTGTCCTTAACCCGAAGCAAGATTACATTATAGAAAAGGAGCCTCTGGTGAACAAGTTTATCTCCGTACCAAAGGACAAAGGTATGTTTTCTGTTGTCATGGAAAATTACAAACAAGTCAAACAAGTCAAAGAACGAACTGTAACATTTCTTGTTATTTGTAATTTTATCCTATAAGTTGAAATACTGCACTCATTCATATAGGTGTTTAGTCTCCCCTAGCAGAAATAATTCATTTGGGCATTATCATCATCACATTCAAAGTCAACTGCTGTAAACATTCAATTACTGCTGTCTTTTCTTTATGATGTGTTTGGGCAACTGCTCAAAGACTTTATGCCATCAAAAACCTGCAAAAGTCAGCAAAAGGGTTAAGCTTCCTTATTTATTTAAAGGAATTCACTTGTCTTCTGACTGACTACATTTTTAAATCCTCATTTTTATGCTCTCTCCTTTTAGTACACATTCATGTTCATATTTGAGTTATATTTGTTTACTTCTTGTTCCTCTATATATTGTCTTCTCCACATGTTCAAATTCTACCAGATTTCAGCTGTGCATTTTATTTTATTTTATTTTTCTTTGTGTTTACCAGCTGTAAACTCCAGTGAAATGTTCTGGTTGTTTGCCCATTTCCAAAACTTGAGTTTTGCCTGCACATCTAATTTACAGATCTGGCTCATTTGTAAACATTTGATGCACGTATTTCATGCACTCTGACTTCGAAGAAAACTTCCTTAATTAGCTGACTCTAATGACAAGCTTGTTAGAGGAAAAGGTGGTGGGATGGGGGCAGTAGTGGGTCTATTCTTTGTTCCCCAAAATGGGCCCTGAAACCTTGACAGAAATATTGACTTCACAGCACTCTGGGCATTCCCATGCATGCTCCGTCCTCATCCTCAGCAGCCAGCTTTGAGTTCCAATACTGATGGTACCAGTCACAATCTGGTTATATGTCCGTCTTGCCTTTCCTCTGAATGTATTGAGCCGGCCAGACCCTCTGGTTACACCCAGATGCGTCATTCTCTCCAGACCATAATAATCTTGTCTCTACTGATTCCGTTGCTTGTTTCCAAAGGGCAGACCTTTTGTTTATTGTTCTCTACCTGCTTTGTGGTACCAACTGCTACATTGAAAAAAAATAGGGAACATAGAGCAAGGGGAAGACAAAAGACGGATCAGTAATATTAATAACAAACATACAGAAATTAAGACCATGTTACACAACAAATTAGAAAGAGCATATATATGATCTTTACATTGCGCACCCCCAAACTTCACTGAAGCAACTGAAAGAAGAAGAAAAGACCTAGCTTGTGAATACTTCTTTTATTTTAGTATGCTTATGTATTAAAAAATATTTAGCAAGACACAGTATAAATTGATTTTGTTTTCTCTGTTACCCAGGAAGTTTGAACTGTGCTGCATTTACAGCCGGCATTCTTGAGGCGGTGTTGAATGGTGCAAACTTTGTAAGTTGATTTCTTCAAGTAGGTTAGCTGTATTGCTTGATTCCATTCATCTGGCTGCCCCTAGGACATGATTTACCTGTTGTTAAAATGCTGAATTATTTACAGGTATAACCGATAAGAGTTGCTGAGTCACAGTAAGAATGTTACAAGACCCGCAACCTTTTACATGCAGTGTAGTTTCATTAAAGTTAATTGCATAGACGATACGAACTAACCCCAGAATTTGTTTATTGTTTTGGCAGCACTAGACAATTTTACATTCAGTAGTTTGCCATTGCTTGATTAAAAGTTTGATGCTGAATAAACGCAATGTAGTTTGTTTGCCAAATCACTTGCATCTGAATGGAACCCTGGATGTCAGAATTATGAATCCCTGTGTGGGTTCCAGGGCCCCATTGTGGGGAAAACAAGAATAGACCCACTGCCTACCAAAAAGCATGTCATAGGTGTTGACTATTGGGAGCTTCCTTCGAGGCCGGAGTGCGTCTGTCCTAGCAGCAAGGAACTGCACACAAAATAGCCAGTAAAACTGATGTACACGCAAAACTCAAGCCTGGTACAAAGCCAGAGTCCAATTGGATAAACAGCCAGGACTTTCCACCAGAGCTTACAGCCAGTTAAGGAATAAGAAAAAGAATATGAAACTGCATTCATTTCCCCTTAAGGCAGTTTCCTCACATGTGGAACTCTATAAAAGTTTAATGTTAACACCACACCTGAAGATTCCAGGGCAGAGAGTTCACGGGTAGTGAGCATACTTTGGATATTTTCTCCAGGCGTTGTGGGGAATGAACAGGCCGACATACTGGCTGGATCTACACCGCTAGGTGGTGAACTGATGTGGTCAGAGAACTTTGGGAACAAGTAATGAAGTCAGAAAAGAAACTAGATTATTATGGGCTGGAGAGAATGAAGCACCTGGGTGTGACCAGAAAGTTCGGCCGGCACACTACGCTCAGAGGAAAGGCAAGACGGACATATAACCAGACTATGACCGGCACCATTAGTACTGGCACTCTGCACTGGCTGCTGAGGATGAGGACGGAGCGCATATGGGAATGCCCCTAGTGCTGTGATGTCAACTCAACTCATCTACATATACATACATAAACTGCTGACAGAGAAGTCTGGCAATCTCTGTGGCAAACCTCTACACCCCAAAGTCGAAGAGGAATGACTTAAGTATATACATTCATATTATGTTCCCAAGACTAAAAACGGGTATATAATAGACAAATGGAAATGTGCCATATTTTTATGCTAGTTAGTTAGTTGCAATATTTTTATGCTAGTTAGTTAGTTCGTGATTACAGTTCCGGCATTACAGCAAACGAACTTGGCCCATAATTGCTCAACCTCCTATGCCAGTGATTCCAGTCACAAACTGAGTCAGATAAGCTGGATACTTTGAGTGAATGCCGTCGCCATACAAAGTGTCCCCAGTCGGCAAAACACACACAATTTGGTCTGGCAATCCATAAGGTGCATGCCTCCTTAATTAAACACACTGCTAGACCAGGCATCATCGCTGAAAATCAACTTCATAGTATTTAACCAGAATTTATGTTAATTTTTTTTTTTTTCATTTCTGTAGCCAGCAAAAGTCACAGTTCACTGGCACAAAGGGACAACTTTCATGATTAAGTTCGACGAGTCTGTGATTGCAAGAGACAAATTAATTGAGGGACGATGATAACTTTGATGGATTAAATGGAATTATTGATTCATTTAAATTCCTGAAAATATCGATGTTAGATGCTTATATACATTTTAGAGAATAAGTTTGCAATTCATTCATATTATCGGTGACATGAGATTTCAATTTTGTGAGTACGTTTTTATCAGGAGAATGGGAAATTGGTGAACAAGAATTAAAATTGGAAGGTTAGTGGGAGACAGGAAATGAGAGAGTAAAAAAAAAGAGAGAGAAAAAGAAGTTGATGAAGATCAGAGAAGAGGGAGAGAGACAATGCAGGAGATGAGAAGGAAGGAGTATGAGGTATATTTTTTTATTTCAGTGTTTTTGTTTCTGATGAGAAGACCTAAATCAAGTATGCATGCACTCTCTCAGTCCACATTTCCCCCCCCCCCCCTTTTTTTTTTCAAATAAAACCCAGGAGCACACACACCTCCCACCGACTAGTGCATCTTGAAGCAGAATTCAGAACTTGAGATGATCAATCTCTGGTAGTAGCTAAAACCTCTCTCAGATTGTGTGTTTTATAAGCATTGCGGCTGTACATTAAATTTAAGAGCAACAGATAAAATGGTTTGGCCATCTGACGAGAATGTCATAGTAACACCTCCCACTGTGAATAAATATAAAAGCACAGAGCAAAAGAAAGGCCACGTAGAAGATGGAATGACAGCATCGAGAACAACCTTATAGAAACTTATGCTTATTGGAGAGGGGAGTGTGTGCTCTTGAGGCATGGTGTCCGCCTCGAGTGCTAGAGTTTCCAGATCCAATCCCTAGAAAGGGCTGGAAATTTGTTACGTGGACTTATACTTCTAGTAATTCCTCCTGGTCTCTGGGTAGTGAGATCGGACGCCCATGTGCATTGTTGCGCACGTAAAAAAAATCTCTTGGTTAGAAGAACAGAGCCCTTATGGGTTACTACCTGTGTGCCATGATGTTGATCCGTTCATGCTTACTAGAAAGCACTCACAGACTTCCACAAACTTCCATAATACTTTACTGAAGTTACTCAAAGTTTTTGATTTGCTCACTTGTGTTCAGTGTTAGCTTTGCAGTTCTGTCTGTCTGTGTGTCCTTGTGTGAGTGCATGTGTGGTGGGGGTTGTGTAATTTCAATGCCTTATATTGTGAGGTTTACAACAATTATTTACATTTAATTTATGCATGCAAATGGGATATTGTGTGTGGATATTTATAGTTATGGCAGAAGAAAAAAATGGGGGGGGGGGGGGGACACTTTAAGAATATCAGCAGTACATACATATATGTGAGTGCATGAATGCATAGGTATGTGTGTGATTGTGTTTGTTTTGTTGATGCTTTACTGGTGTCATTTGTAATTTCTGTAGGTTTTCATTGTTTCTAATAGTATCATCTGATGCTTAGTTTTATGAAAACAAAAACATTAAATGTTTATTTTATCCATCTGAATTTGTTGGTGTTTTTTGTGTGTGTGTTTGTTTATTATATTGCTGTAAAAAATCTTATTGTTTTACTTTATTACAGTGAGCACTCACCAAATAGCTAAAGCTAGACTTCATTACAATGAGCACTCGCCAAATAGCTAAAGCTAGATGTTATTACAGTGAGCACTCACCAAATAGCTGAAGCTAGACTTCATTACAGTGATCACTCACCAAATAGCTAGACTTCATTACAGGGAGCACTCACTGAATAGCTGAAGCTATACTTCATTACAATGAGCTTTCACCAAATAGCTGAAGCTAGACTTCATTACAGTGAGCACTCACCAAATAGATGAAGCTAGACTTCATTACAGTGAGCACTCACCAAATAGCTGAAGCTAGACTTCATTACAGTGAGCACTCACCAAATAGCTGAAGCTAGACTTCATTACAATGAGCACTCACCAAATAGCTAAAGCTAGATGTTATTACAGTGAGCACTCACCAAATAGCTGAAGCTAGACTTCATTACAGGGAGCACTCACCAAATAGCTAAAGCTAGACTTCATTACAGGGAGCACTCACCAAATAGCTAAAGCTAGACTTCATTACAGGGAGCACTCACCAAATAGCTAAAGCTAGACTTCATTACAGGGAGCACTCACCAAATAGCTAAAGCTAGTCTTCATTACAGGGAGCACTCACCAAATAGCTAAAGCTAGACTTCATTACAGGGAGCACTCACTGAATAGCTGAAGCTAGACTTCATTACAGGGAGCACTCACTAAATAGCTGAAGCTAGACTGTTTCAGTGAGCACTCACCAAATAGCTAAAGCTAGACTTCATTACAGGGAGCACTCACCAAATAGCTAAAGCTAGACTTCATTACAGGGAGCACTCACCAAATAGCTAAAGCTAGACTTCATTACAGGGAGCACTCACTAAATAGCTGAAGCTAGACTGTTTCAGTGAGCTCTCACCAAATAGCTAAAGCTAGATCTTATTACAGTGAGCGTTCACTAAATAGCTGAAGCTGGACTTCATTACAGTGAGCGTTCACTAAATAGCTGAAGCTGGACTTCATTACAGTGCACTCTCACCAAATAGCTGAAGCAAGACTATATTACAGTGAGCTCTCACCAACTAGCTGAAGCTAGACTATATTACAGTGAGCTCTCACCAAATAGCTGAAGCTAGACTGTTTCAATGAGCGTTCACTAAATAGCTGAAGCTAGACTACATTACAGTGAACTCTCATCAAATAGCTGAAGCTAGACTTCATTACAGTGAGCACTCACCAAATAGCTGAAGCTAGACTTCATTACAGTGAGCACTCACCAAATAGCTGAAGCTAGACTATATTACAGTGAGCCCTCACCAAATAGCTAAAGCTAGACTTCATTACAGGGAGCACTCACCAAATAGCTAAAGCTAGACTTCATTACAGGGAGCACTCACTGAATAGCTGAAGCTATACTTCATTACAATGAGCTCTCACCAAATAGCTGAAGCTATACTTCATTACAATGAGCTCTCACCAAATAGCTGAAGCTAGACTATGTTACAGTGAGCTCTCACTAAATAGCTGAAGCTAGACTACATTACAGTGAGCACTCACCAAATAGCTGAAGCTAGACTACATTACAGTGAGCACTCACCAAATAGCTGAAGCTAGACTATGTTACAGTGAGCTCTCACTAAATAGCTGAAGCTAGACTATGTTACAGTGAGCTCTCACTAAATAGCTGAAGCTAGACTATGTTACAGTGAGCTCTCACTAAATAGCTGAAGCTAGACTATATTACAGTGAGCTCTCACTAAATAGCTGAAGCTAGACTATATTACAGTGAGCACTCACCAAATAGCTGAAGCTAGACTATGTTACAGTGAGCACTCACTAAATAGCTGAAGCTAGACTATGTTACAGTGAGCTCTCACTAAATAGCTGAAGCTAGACTATGTTACAGTGAGCTCTCACTAAATAGCTGAAGCTAGACTATATTACAGTGAGCTCTCACTAAATAGCTGATGCTAGACTATTACATTGAGCGTTCACTAAATAACTGAAGCTAGACTTCATTACAGTGAGCGCTCGCCAAAGACGTGAAGCTTAACTTCACTATAGTGAGCGCTTACCAGGTCGCACAATAGAGGTGAGACATTAAAAATCTACAAGTAGCAAATACAAACGGGGCAGCTAAAGTCACTGCCGAGACAGAGAAATCAGAATTACTTGACCGGATGATCCAGCTGAGAAAGGAAGTCAAAACTCTCAAGGAACTTAAATAAAACCCCAAACGAGACTGCCGGCGGCTCAGCAGATATAAGTCAATTCCAAACTATCTTCTTTTTCTTGTATTGGCGGAAGGTCCCGGCTGTTAGTCTATTTGGACTTTTGACGTTTACCTTAACCTAAGTTTTGCGTGTACATCCGTTTTACTGGCATATTTGTTTGCAGTTCTCGTTTCCTGCCTCACCGGCAGATGTACTCCAACTTCGAGGGAAAGATTAAATCCAAGCTATAATCCCCCAGCTAAAGAAGAACCCAAGATCCTACAGGAAGACGGAGCAGCACCTGAAGCCCAGCGAGCCACCATCAAGCAGAACTCCAGGAGGCACCGACCATGAGCCCACATTTCTTTTTTTTTTAAATTTCCAATTCAATACCTTCAAAAAAGACATTAACAAAGAAAAGAAAAAGACGAAACTGAAGTTTATACGACTGATCAACGTCATGGCAGACGGGTGGTGCTCTGTTCTTCTTCTAACAAGTGTGTGTGGAAAAAAGGGGGGAGGGGGGGGGGTCGGATCAAAATACATAGAGACCAGAGGGAATTACCAGAAGTCCGAGTCCACGTGAAAAAATTATAGCCCTTACTGGGGATTGAACACGGAACCTCTAGCACTCAAGGCGGACAATACGCCTCGAGACCGAGCAGCCCCTTTAAAAAAAAAAAAACTGGCAGTAGACAGCTGTTCTGGCCACCCACAGGGGAATCATCTCACTATGTGACAATTACGTTTCTGACACCAAACACGACATCATCATTTAAGTTCTTGACCAAGGCATCATCAAAGCAGGCCCAGCTCTATATCATGATCATCATGTGCCGTGCCGGTAAACATAAGCTGCCATGTTTCGCCACCTCACGCGATCACCAGTATCACAGATCAGTTCAATGTTTCTATCCATGCTGCCAGCCATTTTAGGTGTTTATCTTTTTGCCTTCGTCTTGCTATATTTTTATCAATCTTGTTAGTTATTATCAAGTTCGCAAGGTCACTTTCGTGGCCGGCGTGGCCTGGCCTGGTATTTGCGCCGTCTTTGGGCTTAATGCTTCTTTCCTTTATGTCAGACCGCACATTCCCTACCCTGTTGTCAACTGTGTTCTTCTTACCCTTTCATTTCTGATGTTTCCTCCGTGTTTTCAGCTCCCTCTGATTTGACCAGATGTATTTCGTAGAAGAGCGAGCATCTCAACACAACGTCCTTTGGACCACCATTTATAGTTTTAAAATTTTGAGTATTTTACTCTACCGAAAAGTACTGAAAACAGGTTTTTGGTTTGGATAGACCCGAAATATGAA